TAGTAAGTGACACAAACTGGATACCAATCCAGGTGCTTTGTCCCAGAGCCCATGCTCCAGACCATCAAGTTAACTTGTCTCTTGCCGACAAAGTTGTAATTGGAGATAAAGGAGGGGAAATACTAGCTTTGGATTTAGAAATACTAGCTTTATATAAACCCATTATGAACAAAAGCTAGTACCTTTTATATAAGTACTTTCACATAAAATTGATGAAAGTTGATTTCATGTTGGTGTGGAAAATCCTGCTCTGTTTCTAGTTTCAATGCTGTGGTCTTTCTGAAGAACAGGCTGGAACTATTAACAGGAGCAAAAAGAGATCTACTTAGAGTGACCAACCCTCCTGGTTTTAGCACCGAAAGTTCTGTTTCCTGGGACACCTTTAGTCCTGGTCACCTAGGCTGAGCTGTTCCCCAGTGAAAAAACCCCAAAGGAAAAGAGAAGCTGTGGTGTGATCTGGATCTGGCTCCTGCCTGTCTTTCCAGCTCATTCTCACCACTCCCTACCTCAGCCAGGCCGAGCAACTTTTAGTTTCAAAATAGACCGCACTCTCTCTTTCCCCTCTGGGCCTGATTCCTACTGTTTCTTCAGGTTGTTTCTAAGGCTTTGCTTGATTCTCACTCATTCCAAATCCAACCAGACCGATGAAGTTCAGCAGGTTCATGCCAGTTTGGCCACACCAGTTGTTAAAATATCCACTTCCCTGAGTGTGCCCCTCCCTGTCACTGTCCACAGGATCCAGTCACTAAAGGGTTAATGTAAAGGGTTAATGTCAAGCACACCAGTGTTATTCTAAAAAACTTCTCTAGCCCAGCCAGGCGTGGCTCAGGTTGAACATCTATCTAGAATCTAGGAGATCTCGGTGGGTCAGGGCACATGCCCGGGTTGTGGGCTCAATCCCCAGTCAGGGGAGTGTAGAAGGCAGCCAATCAGTGACAACTTATCATTGATGTTTCTGCCTCTCCCTTCCTCTCTCTGAAATCAATAAAAATATATTTAAAAAAAAAACACAAAAACTTCTCTAGCACAAGGCTAACATCTTTCTTTTTTAAAAAATATTTTACTTGATTTTTTTATAGTTTTTAAAAAAGTGTTTTTATTGATTTTAGAGAAAGAAAGGAAGGGAGAGAGGGAGAGAGAGAGAAAAACATTGATGTGAGAGAGAAACATTGATAGGCTGCACACCCCCACTGGGATCGAGCCCACAACCTGGGCATGTGCCCTGACTGGGAATCGAACCAGAAAACTTTCAGTGCGTGGGACGATGCCCAACCAACTGAACCACACTGGCCAGGGCAAGACTAGCATCTTTCTGAGGCCATATCATTTGCTAAATAATTCATCCCTGATTACAACTATGTAAAATGTGAATTTATATAAGCAATGCCAAGAAGGGAATTTGGAGTGATATGAGTATTACTTAAATACTTGTTCATTAGGTCCTCTTTTTGTAATGATGCTGATGTCCGTCATAGTCATGGTTATCATCACTACTCTAGGGTTAACCCCAGAGACTTGAATGGACCTCAGTAGTATCAGGCCCCAGCTGCTGTTCCAGAGGAGGCTTTGGACCACTAGAGCCAATGTTGGGGAGAAGCAGTTAAGTATTTGGTTGGGCCCAGGGTTTGGCTATTTGGACAAGTACTTGTGACATCAGGGAAAGTGGGGCTACCCACCAATCAGTCTTCTTATCATTTGGCAAACCAAACTTCACCATTCATTTATTCATTCATTCCACAAGTAGTTAATAAGCTCCTACAGTGGGATGCTACTGGGCTGGGGCAGTAAGACCTCAAAGTTGCGTTAGGCCTTCCCTGTCCTTTCACTGCTTATGATCTAATTGAAGTATGAAATGTGCAACACAGGAAACATGGAATGTTCTCAGAATTTTTGAAACAGACAGTGAGTTTAGTGAAAGGGGGTTGATGTCAGGCAGAGCAAAGTTGGGAACAGATGAGCCCTGTTTTGTTCGCTGTGTGCTCAGCACTTTCCACAGTGCTTGGCTCACAGTGGGTTCATGAAAAACTCACAGAATGAACAAATGAATGAGAACAAACTATTCATAATCCTGCCAGAGGCAATCATTGTTGACATGTTAGTGCATTTTCTCTTTTTGTCTAAATACACAATAAATATATTTTTAAAATTTCAGTAATTTTCCCCCCCCAAAAGTAACATTTGTTGCAGAAAAAGAAGAAAATGCTGGTAAGCAACATAGAACTAATAGCTAAGATGCTTCATGCTCATTCTTTGTCAGGCAAAACAAGCTTCTTACCTAGTGGTAATGACTCACATTTTGTATATGTCCTTCATATAAGACTCTCTTTTATTCTAAGTGTACACTTTTTAAAAATACTTGGGCTCAAAATGTTTATATAATTCTGTATTATTTAACATTATCTTTTAACATGATAAATTTGTTATCCTAAGAAGCTTGGGTGCACTAGAAATGAAGAAAACAAAGTCAGGGAGGCAGGTAGGAGGTGACTGTTGTGGCAAAGGAAGCCAAAAGGAAGAGGGGAGTCTAGGACTACTTCAAAGAAAGGACTGAGGACCGAGGAGAAAGGCAAGGAAGGAGCCCACATGCATTGTGAGGTCTGGGGACATTCAGGCTCCACTCCTTCCAGTTCATTAGCTCCAGAGAATTGTGCTACCATTGTCAGAAATAAAGAAGTAGGAGGGGAGTTAATTTAATGAAAGGAATGAGGAGTCCTTTTAGATGAACGTTTTAAGTGGCAACTCCTGCAGGTGTTGCAAAAATACTGGCCAGGGCATGAATGCAAGGTTCGAGGGGGACATTAGCAGTTGAAAGAGGTTTCAGAGGGACATTAGTAGTTGAGATCAGCTGGATGCAGAGAAAGACAAAGAGAAGCTGAGGCTAGGGCTGGGTGTGGGAGAGCAGGCAGGGCAGCAAAGCCCAGGAGGCAACCTGAGCCTTGGGGAAGGGAGGTTGATGTGGAAGGGGTGGAGCGCTGGCTAGCGTCCTCTGGTTCCAGGGTGGCACAATGAGGCACAAACCCAGCCCAGGCCACTGAGGTTGCCACAAACTCCCTCCCAGGACACAAGCACACTGAGTAGAGAAAAACCTCTGGAAACCCAAGTAACTGGAAATCTCCCAAAGTGTGCAGCCTAATTATTGTAGTATTATTATCATTAGTATGTTGGTAAATAAGCAGGCTTTTCCAACTTTATTGAGGTATTATTGACAAAGAAATAAAGTATTAAATATAAAATTCTTTTCTTGCAACCTCTTTATTTCAAAGCCTCCAACCTACTCCTCTGAGTCTGTGGGTGTTCTGAGCCCAAGGCCTGATTTGGGGGCCTGGGAGTGGAGTATGCAACTAGAAAAAGACTGCTGGACGCACCTGGGTGGGCATAGCTAGAGGCCAGAGCCAGAGAAACGGGACTCAGGGCAGCAGGTTGCAGTCCCCAAGCCCGCGGGGACTAAATCCTAAGCCCACGTTGGGAATCTCGCCAGGACGTGTGCACCATGCCCTACCTCCTCATCAGCACCCAGATCCGCATGGAGGCGGGCCTCACCATAGTGGGCAATGAGTACTCAGATCCAGAGCTGATGCAGCATTTGGGGGCCTCAAAAAGAGCTGTCCTGGGAAACAATTTTTACGAGTACTACGTCAATGACCCTCCTCGAATAGTCCTGGACAAGCTGGAACGCAGGGGCTTCCGTGTGCTGAGCATGACAGGGGTGGGCCAGACACTGGCGTGGTGCCTGCACAAGGAGTGACCCTAACACTGAGGAGCGGACAGGGCACCCCTTCTTCCAGTGGTTGCCAATGGGCCCTGATCCCAAGCCCCTGCCTCACTCACTGCCCTGCCCCCTTCCCAGATTGTCATTTCCCCTCAGTCCAGCACCACTAGGCAGTGAATGGCCTTCTCTAAAACCTGTCTCGGCAGAGAGGGCAGGCCCCTTGCCTGGTACTCCCAGTTGCCCTTCCACCTTCAGACCTGGCTGAGGGTTCTGGAGGAGTCCATGCTCATGGGCAGGCTGAGGGGCTGGCAAGAGCCAGGCTGCCTTTGGCTAGGAGCATGGTCCTGGGACTGGGCGGGTGAGTCCTGTGTAGCTAGTCCAAGCCAATAAAGGGCTGTGATGGAAAAAAAAAAAGAAAAAGACTGCTGGAGGCGCACTTCACTCACAGAGACACTTCCTCACTACTGGTGTTCTTTTGTTAACCCTTTTTTCAGCAGAAGAAAAAATATGGTGGAGGTAGGGGAAGATTTCTTTTTTAAAAAAATTTTTATTTATTGATTTTTAGAGGAGAGAGAAATGAACTTGTCATTCCACTTATTTATGCATTCATTGTATGTGCCCTGACCAGGGATCTAACTCACAACCTGGGAACCCACAACCTTTGCATATCCGGACGCCACTCTAACCAGCTGAGCTACCCACCCAGGGATCTTTGGATTTATTCTTGCTGAGCTGAGGTTTGGCTGTTAGGTTTCCCAAGGCAACCAATTTCAAATAAGATAAAGAATGAACAGAAATGCCTAAGAATGTAACCACACCTGAGGGTGGACCTGTGGATTCCTGATTTGGGGACTGTCTGCTACTTATTAGCTTCTCTGATCTTAGCGCAAGTCCCCTAACTTCTCCGGGGCCCCGTATACTCACTCTTCTATCCCAGCATCTCACTTGAGTCCTTCTGAGACAAGGGAAATAAAGCACTTTCATAAGGCTAAAGTCCTCTGCAACTGTGTTGGGCATTTTTGAAACAAAAATGTTATTACTGCCACGATTCAATGTCAGGGCCACATTTTAGTTTTTTGGTTTTCTTTGGTTGTTTCCTTTGGTTTTCTGTTTCAGAAACCCATCCATCACACATTACATTTAGTTGTCATGTCTCCTTAGGCTCCTCTTGACTATGGCAGTTTTTCAGACTTTTCTTGTTTTTGATGACCTTGGCAGTTTTGAAGAGCACGGGGCAGGCACTTTGTAGAATGTCTCCCAATTGGAACTCTTCTGTTGTTTTTCTTATTAGATTGGGTTTCCTGTGAGGAAGACCAGAGGTAAAAATGCCATTGCATCACATCATATCAAGGGTACCTGCTATTAACTGGACCTTAATCTTGATCACCAGGTGAGAGAGTGTTAAGGGTTCCCCACTGTAAAATTACTCATACTGTCCTCTTCGGAAGGAAGGCACTATGCACAGCCCACACTTAGGGCGGAGTATCTATATACATCATTTGGAATTCTCCATGGGAAATTTGTCTATTATCCCCCTTTTATTTATGGGTTCAATCATTTATTTATATTAGAACAGACCTGTGGATATTTATTTTATACTTTGGGCTACAATCCAATAGTCCTTTAATTTGTTGTGACGTTGTTCCAGATTGGGCCTCTGGAAGCTCTCTCAGTTGGCTCCTGTGTCCATTCGTCATATCTCCATCTTCCTGTTGTTTTATTTGCTTAGCACGTCCTCACTTTCTGTACTACAAAATGCGCCAGGCTCATCGTATATATTTCCTGCCCCGGTGCTGGAATCAATCATTTCTCCAAGGAGAATGTCAGGGGCAAGTTTAAATTTTAGCAAATGTGTTATCTGGCTGGAAAGTGATCTGACAGGTGGGCATAAGACTCAACCCACCCTTAGGAGGGTATTTTCCCAGCAGTAGCAGCCAGAATTGCAAGTCCTTAGCTGAGAAATAGGTGACTCACCAGTTCCCCAGGTTGTCTCCTCCCTCCCCCTCTTCCTGACAACTCTGTCCCAAAACCAGCTCAGACAGAGGGACCTAGGTCAGAAAGTGTCCCCACCCATGGGGCTAGAGAAGAATGGCCTGTCTCAGGCCAAGTCAGGAGTTTTACCTATGCCCAGCAGACACCTCCCCCCATTTGTGTATTATTTATACTCCTCCTACCTGCAGAAAGGATTAAACAGGATTACCCTTAACTTTACAGTTACAATTAAACTATTATTAAAACTTGGGTAAAAGGACAAGAGCACTGTGAAGAAGGGCCTGTGTGTGTGTGTGTGTAGTAATTTTGTCCCAACACCTGGGCTGGGGCAGCTTGCCTAGGTTCCCTGAATCACAGATTACTAGCACCAGAAGGGCTTTCAGAAATAAACACGCTTCACTGTCATTTTATAGCACTGAGATGGATCAAGTGATTTCTCAGGAATCACTGGAGGAAGAGAGGCGGAGAGCTGACGCTCAGAGCAGCACACAGATACGGGGCAAAGGATCGCCCAAATGAGCTAAAGAACTAGGAAGACTGCAACAGGGCTCCTGATGTTCAAATCCCCATTCTTGCCTCCTTTTCCAGGACAGTAAAAAGAACAGTTTTTGAGAACTTCTGTGGGATACAATGGCAAGATAACACTTTGGGGCCTCTTTCACTTGCTAGATGAATAAATATATGTGGATGTGGCTGAGAAGTTCTTGGGACTATAATTAAGGATTATTAGCATCCCCAGATATTTGGACATAGGGGATATAGGATGTAGACATGGGGATAGAGAAGTGGATAGTGGGGATCCTACCATTTCCCCACAGTCAAGATTTGAATGGTTAAATTGGCATTTAGCTGTTGTCCTCAACTTTTGAGTACAATAAAAAAGAAGAAGAAAGTAAGAAAAAATAAAAGTCAGGAATTCTGAGACTTTCTCCAAGAGATTCAGAGATTTGGACTTGTGGGGTTTTATACTACCAACTGTTTAAGAAGTAGGATTTTCTCTTTTCTTTAATATTCATTCCCTTCTTCCTTTCCCATACTCTCCCTGCAACAACTCATGATGACACATCTTGAATGATTTTTGTATAGGCTGAAATGAAAGACTACCCTGGAGTTCAGAGAAAGGATTCTGGGCCTGGTGTCACTTGGTGGTGCGGCTGCAATAGAAATGAAATTAGCATCAGGCTACTACTCTTCACTTGCTCTCTTGGTGACCTTCCTAGGGTCACCTGCGATATCTTGTCTCAGTCTGTAAAACTCCTTCTAGGGTAAGGACAGTGGGTGGCCCAGAACAGCATGTGCTTTTGATGATGATAATGAAGAAGAAGAAGATAATACTAGGGGCATTTTGGACTTAGAAAATTTTTAAATGAAGAATTGTCCTTGGAGATTACCCCCAGCTAGGATCTCCAACACCCTGAATTCCTTCAGGAGAGCAGAGGGAAGGTGTTAAAGGCCTGCCTTCCAGCCCAGTCTGGAGGAAGCTCTACTTTGAAAGGGAGTACAATACATTCCTGCCGGTTGTGTACACGCTTGAGTTTCTCTTCTGCCTCCTCAAGATCAGTATATTTTTTAAAATCATTCTTTAATAAAAGTATTATCCAGACTTTTTAATATGTCAGGTTTGTTTTAATTTGAACACGTTTCATTTGAACTGGCAGCACTTTGTGTTCCGAAAGATAAACCCTCCGTATCTTTCTCCGACAGAATACCTAGCCCTGCCTCCTTGGGGCGATCGATCCCTTGCGCGGTACCCGAGCTGCTCCGAGCGTCAGCTCCCCGCCCGCCTCGCCTCCTCGGGGTTGGAGATCCGCCGGCCCCGCGCGTGGGGCCGCTGCAGGGGGAGGTCCGCGAGGAGGCCCGGCGGGTGGGCGGGGCCAGGCCTGCGGGCTCTATGCAGATGAGGTGGGCGGGGCCCCACTTATACCGGCTGGTAGCGGCGGGAGACGCGGCGGGCCTCGGCAGACTCGCTCTGAGGCAGCCGGCGGAACCGGCTTTTCCCTGGCGCGGCAGAGCCTGGTCCCGAGCTGTCCCCGGAGCGGGCCATGCCCCCGCGGGAGCTGAGCGAGGCCGAGTCGTCCCCGCTCCGGGCCCCGACCCCTCCCCCGCGGCGGGGCAGCGCGACACCGGAGCTGGGCATCAAGTGCGTGCTGGTGGGCGACGGCGCCGTGGGCAAGAGCAGCCTCATCGTCAGCTACACCTGCAATGGGTACCCCGCGTGCTACCGACCCACGGCGCTGGACACCTTCTCCGGTAC